TTTAGTTAAAACTATAATTTTTTTATGACATCTTAGGCAAGCACATTACATCGTGCTGTGAATGTTCTGACAAAGATAGTTACGTGTAAGAGGCTAAACTTCGCTATCTTTGTCCCTCACATGTACAACAAATAAAGGCGTTATTATTACTATTATTATTACTCTTAAAAAATATTATTTATTACCTCTGAAAATGCTTCTGATTCTACTAAACCTCATTTCAAGACAGTATGTGTCGCAAGGTTGCTCGTATCCTTGATACCAATCAGCACCGAGGTTTGCAACGCAAATTACCCCAAGCATCTTGCTTTCTGTTTGTCGATCACGGTATAAAAGTGCTCTCTCCAGATGTATTACGTACGTGAGCCGTAAGTGCAATGCATCCCCATTCAAGTACTGGTGGAAATTGGAACAGCATCTCGGTTTCAGAGAAGCGCAACGAATAGTTTAAGGAGAGTATAGAGAGCACCAATAGTAGGCTCACTTCACAATCAGTCAAACCAGTTTCTTCATGGGTATCCATCCCCCCACCCCGCTTTGAGAGGCATCAATCGCTTAGCACAGAGAGTCGCTGACAAAATATTTCTTCTGAGAAGGTTGGTGACACTGCTTAAACGTACAATTGTCAGATTAAAATTCTTTATATAACCTCAATTATTTAACTTCTCATGCCCACTGGCGAGGAAATATTGTAATCGCGGAAAATGACGGTAAGAAGATATTTTTTTTCTTGGATGTTACATGACATGTACGTCACGAAAAACCAAGTCACTCATTTCCGACGGTCTGTCAATATGTCTTTTCTAACGCTTGGTCCGTCTAATACCTGAACCTCAATTATTTAACTTCTCATGCCCACTGGCGAGGAAATATTGTAATCGCGGAAAATTAGAGTGCCGTTTGATTGAAATGGGAAACATAAGGTTGCTGTTACGTTATTAGAGTAGGGCGTAAAGATCTCTAAATGTTGCTTTTATTTTGAATAAAAGTATTTTCTTAAGATGTATGTAGGATCAAAATATGTGTTTGGTGTGCCAAAGGATAGATAATTAAGTTTGAATAGGCAAAAATTTAGGTTTTGTCTGGTGGAGCTGGAAATGTGAAAACGTTGAGCTCTTTGATCACGCGCCCTAGAGACCCTTCTAACTTCATAGACATGGCAAGTGTAGAGTTGCCTATAAGGAATATTCATGTACCGTGCCTTGAGCTGCTCTCTATCATTAAAAGTTTGTCGATAAAGTCGGTGAACTTTCGATCGTCGACGGTGGTAGACAGGTCAGAATGGTATGTCCTGCAAAAGAAAGTTTGGATAAAGTAATGATGGAAGTGCATTTTTTTATCTCTGGTGCTAAAGCTACATGCGCCCTCAAATTTGTGAGTTAAGGCCGAGAACAATCCACGCAAAATTAAATGTACCAGTGTCCAGATATTGAGAATACATTCTGTATTTTCCAGCATATACCCATCGTAATGAAACTGATATGAGATCCAGATTGAGCAGTCGAGGTATGCTTAATTAACACCACTGTATAACAAAGCTGTGGGATTCAAGTATCTTTTGATACCAATATAAAGATTCTGGACCATCCGTAACAAAAACACTGTAGATACGTCGATGATGGATATCATCTCTGTCTTTCAGACACAAAATTGAGAAAATACGTAGTAATCCTGTAGATTTCTAAAACGATTTCAACCGAGAGGACATACGGCGCACTAGAACAGTATGCGGTTCAGATGTCAAATAGCAACATTTCCCCTGCGAGGATGCGGGTGACGTATAGCTTGTTGCCAGACCTCAATTTGCATTTCGCGTTGCTGTCAAACTTTCATGAAATATTCTGCACTGAGTTGAAATACTCAGTCTCGCAATTCAAGGCTTGAACGGAGAAGCGTATAACCCAAGACGATTAGGAAACACTGCTTAATTCCCGTATCTCACATAAAACATCTTCCATAAATATTTTAGAAGCTATCAACATTATCTTGAAACATTTTCTTTTAAATCAGTTGTGGGGCACAAGAGTGGCTGAAGTCAGCCCTTTTCTCGTAATGAACATTTTGTTTGATAACAATGGAACGCAGAATTCTTTTCAACCTTCTAATGGAAAACTCCCTTTTTAATTTAATAACAGACAAAAGTTGTGTACCGAATGATCACGAGAGCTAAAATTTCACCACTCAAAATATTGTACAATGGAACTTAAATAGCAGTCCGCTCTGGAAGTCTGGGATGATTTTAAAAACGAATTCAGTGACTACCGCCCCACGGGATTGAATAGTAGCTAAATATCCTCGTTGCAACCTTTCCCTGTGGTGCATGCCAAGTTTGACCAGGCCGGGACAAGATCGCAGACCATGACGCCCGACCATAGATAGGGTTGTTCTGCTTAACAGGAACTCAATTTATAGCCCTTCGGCAAAAAACCGAGAGGTGCAATATAACACTCTCCTTTCCGTTAAATCCTTGAAAGCAAAGATAGTTACTTCATTTAGCACCCTGGGGCTCGGAATTCAGCTGGTCATGCGTACAAAACTGTCATCTGGATGTACATGCTCTTTCTTGTGCTGAATCGGCTGATAGAGTTGTTTGAATTGACCAATCAGCGTGAACTCTCCGGTCTCGCTTTCGAGCCACAAGAAACCATCCAATTGAACTAGGAAATTATGTGATACTCTAGTGTCGTTGCACAGTGTAAAGTTATTTTCATAGAAGCCTAATTTTTTCAAGGTAACTTTTGTTTCGCAGGTAAAACAAATAAAAGAGAGACATTGTGTCTTAGACAAGAAAAAGCAACCACGAAATACTTATCGTATTTTTTGACAATAAAGTTATTGGAACCTTTTTTATTCTCAGTATCAGTAATCGACGTAGTTTTCTGTGAAGTAATCGCCAATACGATGATTATGCACGGAACGTACCTAAACAAATGTCATAGTAGGCCTGCCCTATTGATTAGTCATGGCAATTGTTGAGAGTTGGACGATTCAGTGTTTTCCTCTATGTTCTTCCCCTTCCTTCCTTCCTCCTCTCTATCCGGATTTGTCTGGTATCTGACTAATTAGACTTGAGACACCTTTTTATTGTTTATAAGCATTAGAATATGCAGCTAGTCTCAGTATGAATAATAACAACAATAATAATAGCAGGCAGCTAAATTTGTATATGGGTCTCCTCAAGAAATTTAATAGGCAGTTACCCGATTAGGTTTCCTCGAAATGTAGGTACTTTAGTAATCGTCGCTGGATATTTTCAAGTTTATCTATCCAGGAGTTATAGCAAGACTGTCAAGCAACTGATGCATATTCAAGCTTTGAACGAACAAGTGAGCAGTACAAAAGCTTAATTGTATCAATGTCTTATAACTCACGACAAAAGCGTATAAAAAATCTTTTGTAACACTCATGAATAATTGTCTCCATATGACCATTGAAGCAATACTTACTATTAAAAATGACACCTAAATCCTTGACTTCACTTAAGCGATTGAGAGGCGTACCACCAATATTATAGCCAAATACGGTTGCTTGAGTTTTGTTGGTATAACTGACCACATTAAACTTCGCTGCATTTAAAGGTAAACAATTTTTGGAACACCACCTGTCAAGCATGTCATTAACATTTTTACATTTGTAACTTTCCACAATCATCAAGAGACCGAATCGGACAAAGAAGCTTGGGATCGTCAGCATATAGGACAAACTGCTATCAGTTTGAACACGAGAGTCTATATTTTCAGATATATAGTATATGCTGTGCAGTGCAGAATGCGACATAATCGTGTTTTGCGTTTAAAATTAGCTCAGTTTTTGTCTGAAAAGATTGAACATAATGTATTCCTGACGTATCTTCCTATAAAAAACAATGGCGGGAACAGAGAGGTGTAAGCAAAATATTCAGTCATTTGAGGATGAGATACCATTTTTTGGAGTCGTGTGAATAACTCTAATTGACATATCTACCTTTTTAAGTCTTTAAAAGTAAAAAGTTCTTTAGATACAAGCTACCACTGCATTAAAGCGACGATTAATGATGTTTAATCTATTATTTGAATCCACGACAGCTACTGACGAGCGATTTCTGATTTTCAAATCAGCTAATATTTCTTTGATTAAAACGATCTAATATGTACCATACTACATACTTTGACATGCTGACGCAAGCCGTAAATTTGGAAGTCTGCTACCATATTGCCGTACATGGACAGAGAAAGGGGGACCTTGGATCTTTGGTAAGTGTCAGGGATCCAAAATATATATGTTATAAAGCTCGTCTAGCATACAAATCGATTTGACGCCAACGGAAGTCTCATTAAGGAGTGTTAATTGAATCTACATACCTAATATGCAGACGAGGTAGCTCGAAGATATGTAGGCGTCTCTTGCCTATAACTGAATGCCAGCTCAAAAATACACGTCTATTAATATATATTTTTAAGCCAATTACAGAGCTTGATACTATAAGTGTCGACCCTTCATAATTTATTGTGGGTGAAAAATTACAACAGATGTTCCATAAGATGTGCGGCATATAAAGCACCTTAGGGGTGGCAGTCATGTGCGGATAATGAAAATGTTCCAAACGGGATTTTTTCGTGTTCTTTGAGTCTCTAGTAATTTTTAGGCGTAGTAAAAATATTTTCTGAAGAATTCGAACGGTTTTTTTAAGTGTGCGAACTTTTTGATTACGTTAAGATGTAGTCAGAAAAACTTTGAGGTTTCAAAAATTTCCAAATATCCATGACTTTAAATACATTTATGGAGTAATGAGTCAATCTGCTTAACTCTATTGTTTTAGTGGTAAGTTTTATACAGTGCTGTTCATCCCCCTCCCCTCCCAGATTTATTTTTTGAACGGGCCAAGTTATCAAAGTTAGCAAATTCGGGATGATGAAATTCATGCATTATATTTTATCGTCAATGTAGCAGTTGAAAATTTCAAGATAACGCTGCATCATCTTGGATTACTTCTTTATGGATGCGAATCCTAGGTTCTATCGCAACAACAAAAAAGTAAACTTCAGGCAGTTGAAATGAAATACTTGAGACGAGAAAGGGGTAACCAAAATGGACAAGATAAGAAATGAGACCATAAGAACAAAGTTAGAGACAGAATCTATACTAGAACACATAGAAATGAAGCAGCCGATATGGTGGGGAGATTTGCAAAGAAGGGGTGACAACATACCGGTGAAACAAGTTTGGGAGAGTAAGGTGCTAGGAAAAAGGAGAAGGGGCAGGCCACAAAGAACATGGGGGAATACTATAGAACAGATATTGGTGAAAAGAGGAACGGATTGGAGAGAAGCTAAGAAACTTGCTTTAAACAAAAAAGAATGGATTAAGTTCATGTACAAATAATAGTAGGTTTTGTAATGTTTTGTTTAACCCAGACCCTTTAGGGTAAATGGGATTTTGATTATATATATATGTATATATATGTATATATATATATTCGTTTCCTCAGGTTACACCCGTATCCGGATGGGTGGGCATGTGTATCTACTTTTGTAGTTTCATATGTGCATTCATTTCGGGCCTGATGAAGCCAACCATCAGAAATACGTATCGCTCGGGTTACCTATCCTATTTTCTGCTCGAATCCACTTTCCTCCTTTTTGCGGATTTTGCCCATTAGTTTCCTACTTGTTGTTATATACCTTTCTCCGCATGATCATATTCTCTTTGTAGATCCTTTGAGCTTGAAGTACCACAGCAAGTGGCTATAACCGGCCGCGTGGTTGTGGTTAGACGTCTCCTTGAAAATTCGAGGTCGTATAGCCATTTTATACTACAATGTGTAGGTTGGCTCTTGTTGTGGACTTCGTGTGACTTTTTTCCCTCTCCATCTTTGTTTCCTCAGGTTACACCCGTATCCAGATGGGTGGGCATGTGTATCTACTTTTGTAGTTTCATATGTGCATTCATTTCGGGCCTGATGAAGCCAACCAGCAGAAATACGTATCGCTCGGATTACCTATCCTATTTTCTGCTCGAATCCACTTTCCTCCTTTTTGCGGATTTTGCCCATTATTTTCCTACTTATTGTTATATACCTTTCTCCGCATGATCATATTCTCTTTGTAGATCCTTTGGGCTTGAAGTACCACAGCAAGTGGCTATAACCGGCCGCGTGGTTGTGGTTAGACGTCTCCTTGAAAATTCGAGGTCGTATAGTCATTTTAAACTACAATGTGTAGGTTGGCTCTTGTTGTGGACTTCGTGTGTCGTTTTTTCCCCCTCCAACTTCGTTTCCTCAGGTGACACCCGTATCCGGATGGGTGGGCATGTGTATCTACTTTTGTAGTTTCATATGTGCATTCATTTCGCGCCTGATGAAGCCAACCAGCAGAAATACGTATCGCTCAGGTTAACTATCCTATTTTCTGCTCGAATCCACTTTCCTCCTTTTTGCGGATTTTGCCCATTATTTTCCTACTTGTTGTTATATGAGTATATATATAAGTGGAATGATATGTGATATCTCATTAATTACCAGTGAAAAGTTTTCAATCTTCTTCTTTTTAAAGGGTCTGCATGAATCTGCAGTAAAATTGAAACATTGCGTTTAAAAAATTAGAGATTTTTTACACTATAAAGTTTTGATTTATTGATTTTCATTTGCTTGATTCGCTGTTGAGTCATAAGCGATTAAATGTACAATATTAATCAAATTTAACAGACTGCCAGTCCGCCATTTTAAAAGAAGGCGGTTTTATATTTTATGGTTGTAAAGTGCTTTTGAGGAGCTTAAACACGAGGTATCACGTGATCCCCTTCCATTAGAAGAAAACTAAAATTTTATAGGCAACTCATCTCGTGCTATACACCTCAAAGGCTGGAGTCTACTGTACTGTAATTTTCCATCCACCATTAAGCGAGTTATGGAAAACGAATCCTGATTCACAAAATCTCGCCTGATAGATGTTTTTTATGCTTACACAATATAAAAGTTAATAAGATATTGGAGGTAACAGTTACTTAATGACATGTGTTGTTCTATAGATAACTGGAACCCATCTACGCTAGGGCTTATACAGGTACACCGCTTCCGTCTTGGATATCGTTACGCCTTCGTTAAGATGGAATCAATACCGAGGTTTATGTTTCGGCCAAAATCTCTGCGGTGTCGTTGTATCATGGATAACTGGTAAGCGGATAAGGATTATAAATAAGGTAAATTGCTTTTTAGCTACCTGAAATATGCGCAGAAAATGTACAGATTAAAATAACTCTTTCTTTCGTCAATAATGGCAATTTTGTATAAAACTATGTGAACTACGAGAAAGACTACTGATATATCCCTTGCTCTTATGACCGTGAACAAAGTTCCACGCAACATTGTAACATACAGCAGTTATTTTTATCATTTTGGACGTAAAGAGGTGCTTATAGCTTGTAGCACGAAATAAATAATACAAAAATGAAAATAAATAATACAGGGTCCGTTGGAAACAACGCATGTTTTTTAAATGAGTAGTACATTCCAAATAAGTATGGGAAAAATACTTTATTATATCAAATTACTTGAAATACATGCCATTTTTATAAGTAAAACAAAACTTAGGTTCTCCATGTCGGCCATATGGCGCCCTTGAGTCGAAATGCAGGAATGAAGCCTCTCCCGAAATGAATACATTGCGTCGGCCAGCATCAGTGCAGGAATTTGGGTTACTTCTCTTCTTATTTCCTCCTGCAAATCGACAAGGGTCCAAGGCTTCCTTTGGTAAACATTTGATTTCAGGTAGCCCCATAAAAAAATCACACGTTGACAGGTCCGGGGATCGAGGAGGCCATTGAATATCGCCACGACGTGAAATGAGAAGACCTGGGAATTTTTGCAGAAGTACCATCGAAGTGCTAACTGTGTGAGATGTTGCCCCGTCTTGTTGGAACCACACTGTTCTGAGACGGACACATCGACGTCGAAGTTCTGGAAAAAAAAGTTGATCAGCATGTGGATGGATCGCTCTGAATTCACAGTAGTTGTTTCTCCATCATCTTCAAAAAAATAAGGGCCAATAATCACCGTTGGGCCTACTGCACACCAACCTGTAACTTTCGGGGTATGCAGGGGGTGCTCAAGCAAATGTTGGGGGTTCACTGGAGACCAATATCGACAATTTTATTTATTGACGTATCCATCTAAATGAAAATGTGCTTCATCACTCATAAACAACGTCATGCCATTGTTATCCAACTGTTCAATCATGAGCTGTGCAAAATTAACACGTTGTGCATAATCCGCTGGCAACAGTTGTTGACAAACTTGGATTTTGTAAGGACAGAACACTAAATCCTTCTTCAAGATGCGACGTTCAGAAGACTCCCTATGGAACTGGCACCCGAACGGACTCTCACCCTGTCTACGTATTCGGGGGTTCTAACGGTACGGTTTTGCCCTGTGACCTAAAAAGTGGAACCTAAACACCCGAAAAATCTATTCCATCAAGGTGTAGGAAAACTATATTTTGAATTATACAAACCTCCAGTTTTATTGATATTATATCAACAATCAAAAACAATTTTAAAAGTTACAATGAGTTGATACACATACAACAAGGTTTCCTAGCATCTGGCCCATGGAGGCCACGACCTAATAAGTAGCCCTTGACAGTTTCCATAAGACCCTAAAGATTTCCGTAAGCAAAACTTCATTTTCCATTTCATCCTTTAAATCATTACTCCTAGACTTCTAGATGCTTGTATTCCAAACTTTTAGGATTGTTTGCACTTGGATAATAAAAGTGGTTAGTGACCTGCCACGAACATAACATTGTCAAGTCAACCTAACTGCTTGAAAGGTTTAGCAGCTTCAAGGCAAAGGTCCCCTAAAGAATAGCTATTTTAATCAGATGAAGAGACAGTGAATTATCCTAGAAATTTCGTCTCCATATTGCTTGTACGTCTGCCTTGATAGTCAAGAATTTTTTTGTATAAAATATATAGTATATATTCTAATGCATCAGATCCGCTCTCGCAATAGCAATACGTCTGTCGTATTCTCAAAAAAATCCATCATATGTTACAAAAATATATTGAAAGCGTGACGTAAACTGTATAGTCACGCTCTGTCTTCATCCAGAACAAAGCCAAATCCTATTGGTTTATTCCTCCCCATGAAGCACAAAAGTTTCAAATGTGGTTTCTTCCAATGTACTAATCTTCAATACCTTCTTTTTCCAGCACACAAATGATAAATTGCATCACCCTTGAAAGATGGAGGAAACAAATCGTTTTCAGCTATACAAAATACTAGATAGAAAATACCCCTTTGGTGTAATAAGTATATTATTGGCGTCATAACTTTGATAATCCGAACTTATTCATCAGCGACCTTGTTGTATTGCTCCGGCATTTGACGTGCACTTGAAATGTTTGCCTGTGTAACTTTCGTAAACACAGAAAGGTTATTTAGGTGACGCATAAACACGGAAGGGTAAACAGAATCACAAATCAAAGTTGGATAATCCGCAGAAGTAAAAAGCATTGAACTTAAACAACAATGCAGCAAGCTAAGAATTGTTGTAATTTATTAGTCATTTTGAACAGATACTCACATAAATGTATGCTTTGTAGGAACTTATATAAGTTAAAAAGTTATTCGCTGTAGCTTAAGTGGTATTTACAGTACGAATAGGATACGAGTTCCATTAATGGATCTACTCAGTAAAAGTATGTATATTCCACGAGCTGGGTAAAATCATAGCTTTCGTCATATAAATACTTGCTCTTATTGCTGACAGGGATGTAGCAACGTATGTAGCATCTGCCCACGTACTTTATTTACCCTAAAAAAAAAAGGTAATGGGAAATTATACGCTGTAACCGATATGAATTTTATCCTCTCCACAAGCGGGAGCCGTCAAAGAGAATTTTAAACTACTACTCGTACATCACGGAAACCGTTAGCTGTCGTCTAAAAGCAGTAAATTGGTCTAAATTTACCAAAGAAAATGAGAAAATCAAACCGTCTACGGTGAGAGCGCTAAAAACTTTTCGGGCATAATAAATAAAAAGCTCCTAACTTCAACATTGTAAGCAACGAACTTTAGCAGTTGTTCACGTATCTAGGGCGTAAAAGGGTTTTTATGGACGGCGACATAACATCAGGGCCCAAAGCCACGAAGCTCCGCAGGCTCAAAAGTTAGTGGCGGTAGACACCAAAATCATCACTATTCCAGCGAGTTGCCTTATATTTCAACATATTTGTTAGGCTACAGATGGGAAGGGGCCTCGAAGACTTCTGCATATAGTGATAGAAGCTGGAAGATGTTCTCCAATGTTAACACTTTAATAACTTTAGTTTTTACTTTAGTGAGAAACA